TGCCCTGAATCCTGTATCTGAATGCCTTAAGAAATGCCTAAGAACCCAAAAACCAAGACCCAGGCCCTGAATCCTGTATCTGAATGCCATAAGACATGCCTAAGAACCCCAAAAAGCAAGACTGATACCCTGAATCCTGTATCTGAATGCCATAAGAAGTACTATATTCAGATCTCGGTTGTAATTTAAGAGTTTCAGAAAATTAGGGTACCTTATTTTGGGGTCCTTATAATAGGGATCCTATTATTTATGGTACTATATTAAGGTCCCCCATTTTCGGAAACCCCCATTTAAGTTGGGCCCTTGGGGCAGGCCGAGGATGAGATCATCTCCGGCGTGGAGGCCAGAATTCCACCGGAACGAAAGGACAAATGGCCGTAGGGTTTAGGGTTTAGGGCTTAGGGTTTTAGGGTTTACGGTTTAGGGTTTAGGGTTTTGGGTTTTAGGGTTTATTTAATTTAGGGTTGAGAGTTTGCGGTCTTCTAAACCCTAAACCCGGATCAAGTTTGGGATTTTTGGTTGCGAGACTCTGGTTGCAAGTGTTTTGAAAGAGTTTATGGGCCTTGAACATGCGATCCGGGCCTTTGTCGGCTTGTATTAAGGTTCTTAGGGGGCTCTATACGCTTACTTCAGACGCAAACCTTTAGTTACAGAGATCTGATGTCAAGTGTTGCTTTCAAAAAGTAAGCTTTGGAGTGTTGGTGGTCCTCTCGTGAGGCGCCTGGGGACACGCAAAGCGCGAAAGCCAAAGACTGCTCCCCAAACCCACGACACCCACCCTGCACCCTACCATTGGAGAATCCTACATCCTCAGCCTTGGACGAATTAAATTGAACTGGTAACCCGAGCTCGGAATTCCAAATCCCAAACCCTTCAAAACGTTGGCTGATTGAGGGCCCAGGGTCAGAAGCATAAGCTACAGGGCCATAGGGATGTATATGGCCTCAAGCTCCTCAAAGGTTCCGCGGTTCCTAGAGCTTGCACGGCTTTGGGCATGCAAGACCAAACCACCCTCTGCACATCAGCGCCCGGCAGCACGCAAACTTCACCCGGCCTCCAGCTGAGAAAGGCTGTGAGTTTGGGGCTGCAGAACAGCAACACAACTAAACTCCACAAATTATAGGGTGGTGAACCTAAGCGGCAAACTGAAATACCGAACAGCCTAAGTAGGCTCTGAACGGCTGAAGCGGATTTACGATGGTCAAAGATTACCTAGGCAGGTTCGAAAGGGACATGTTGTTTTACTTGTATATGCATAGTGTATTGCTTAGGTTTGTACCCATATACATGCATGCATGCATATGTTACATACATACAGCATGTATTACATACATGCATACATACATACATGCATACATACATACCTACCTACCTACCTACCTACCTACCTACCTACCTACCTACCTACCTACATCCATCCATCCATCCATCCATCCATACATACATACATACATACATGCATACATCCATGCATACATACATAAAAACACAAACATACATCCATACATCCATTCATCCATCCATACATACATACATACATATACGCATACA